GTAAAAGTCAATATCCTTGCACAGGAGTCCAAAACACCAGCGCGAAAACTCCTAGAGGCTTTTTGGATCAATGCCAAAAACCCTACAATGAATAGCAGGGATGAATGCCCGGAGGTCACACGCGACCTGATCCCGTACGTTCGCATCGATTTTTGATGTGGGATGGTGTAACCATATGCGATTATACTCAGCTGTTCTAAACTTCCTCATTGGAAGTCACGAAAAAGCGGTGGGTTTTTCGAGAAGTTGTTGATCATGTAGTTACCAAAGAGTCTTTCGTCTTTTTGTAAGTGTTATTGAAGCGTTTGGCCCAGTAAATTGTATATCCGTATACCCTTCCAGGCTCTGAAGAAGGCGATACTGCCGAAACGTCAGCTAGCGTTGTATTGTATTGTGTTTTTATGGAAGTAAATGTACGCTGTTTAAAAACCTCGCGATTGTTGAACAAGAAGACGACACATTCATATTCCAGTGCCGAGGTTAATAGAAAGCCGATCCTGGGATCTAAGAATAAGATTATTATTAAGTTCGCTATGTTATTTTATTTGACAAAGATAAGCGATCACAATCCAATTTTGTACAAATGGCTAAAGCCTAGGACGCCACTGTCCCGTGCTAATTAACTCGGATTCATGGATAATAATTTCCCTATCCTGTATACATATTCGTTCGCCCTTCCTAGTCTGGAATTGAAGTCTCCAAAAACGAATTTATGGAAGGACTGGTCATTGTAGACTACATCCTCTAACTGATTGCAAAAAGCATCCAGTTCGTTCTCATAGTATAACTTGGTGAGTAACAGCTGATGATACTGACCTACTTTGTTTTGACGATCAAGTTAGAGACGAAGAATGGCCAAACGTTGTGATAGGATTTCGTATGAGGTGAATTGTTGGTAAAGGGATAGGTGCACAATGAAGGCAACGCCGCCGACATTTCGTAACAAAAACTGCCCTCCATGAATGACAAGGGTTCCAACTTCTGAATGGCGATGTCGGTCTTCGTGCTTTTGAGACTGTTCTATTGTTATATGGGGAGAGCAAGGAACTATCTCCATGGGGTGTAGTATGCATGTTCGTTTTGTCTGTTACCAGAGACGACGGTTTATGCAACCCAAGATGTGGTGGCCTCCTACCGGTTGTCTCACCGCCCGACGTTCTAGACAGCAGCGTCCCGTGTGCACGGTATTGAGGCAGAAATTTTACTGGTTTAGCCAACGTGGTTCCCTGGAGACTCAAGGTCAGCCTAGCTGAAGCCTTCCCCCTGTCGTCACCCCAAGCAATCGCCCCCGTTGTGGATGACAGCAAGATTTGTCTCCGTGCCATTAGTTTGATAGCAGGATAGCGGTGATTCCCGGCATTGGTTTATCTTAGCTGGCTTCCGGATGCAAAAGCTGAACACCTTCCCAACTTGAGCGACCACGCTGAGGGATAAATCCCACCAGTACATGGCAGCATGCCACCCAGGAACATCTCGCAGTTACGATGAAGCGGTAAAACTTTGGGAGGCTATTAAGTAAACGACATAAGAAAGCTACTAAGAGGTTTGTTGTCTTCTCCTATTCCTTTCATAGAAAATAACTTGTAAGCCGAAAAAGGGTGCGGTGATAAGCAAAATGTGACGGATGGCAACTTGCGGACCTGCACTTTGAAGTCCTAAATGAAAGGTAAACGAGTGATGGAATCGCTGTGGTGTCAGTGGTGCCGCGCAATACGTGCAGTATCGCTGGTTCGACCAGGCGATGGGGCGACTAGGCCCCATCCCTTTGTGGCCGGCATATGTGGCGTTATCATGCCTCTTAGAAAAAAGCACTCCCGATCAGCAAAACCGGCGATTGACCGTGACAAAGCCCTAAAAATGCCTTAGTAAACCTATTCTAGATTTCCAGAGAGAATCACCTTCACCAGCAATCGTTGAGGTTTATGAAGACAAAGTCCTCAACTAGTACCCGAACTCGTGAGCAAATCCAAAGACCTTCGTGTAGAACGGATATGAGACAATTAAACATGTGAGAAGAAGGACTGGGAGTTTCAGGACATGAGACGTCAGGTAATATAAGTAAAACCAAATAAATTTGATTATCTGAAGATACCTTATTTGGTCGACATCTGTTCGATAAGCTGAAGCGGTGAGCAAGCGGGTAGCGACCTCAATCTCGGTCATTCGGTTAAGAGTCTCACGAGCGCGGTTCACAGCGTCTACCTTAGAAGGAGTACAATAATCTACTTAATCCATTAATTATATCTTCCTGGTGCTTCATTTATAATCGTGAAGTGCTACACCTGCTTTTGTAACGGCCACACTGTCCATTACGCGATGTCGCTATACTAATGAGGTGATTGCTATTGACTTCATACACTTATGTAAAACGATGGAATGAACAACTAAATGGTTCACCCAAAGTGTCACTACTTTTACGAGCAGCGATGATAGTCAATTAAAAAAATAAAAGTCAATGCTCCTATTAAAAATAAATAATGCATGTTAAAGTTTTCAGAGGAATGTGCTGCTACTAAAACGTCATACCCTTGGATGCTTTAATTGTATTGGAAAACAGTAAGCTAATATACAATCCTGGATTACTACCATGTCTGATTTTCTACACCAGGAACTTAAGAGACGATTATAAAGACGTCTAGGGCGGCCAAGAGATAAAATTGAAGTGCGCTAATAAATAGATGACAGAAAGAGGAAAAATATAGTAAAAGAGTTAGGATATGCTTCTCGATGGAACGGTGCCGTAACCGAAATTTAGCTTGGACACGGAGAAATTTACTGTGTATTACAGCTCCTTATCGTGGTTTGTCACCACTAAATTTTCGTTAAAAAGGACACGATACATTAGGTTATTCGGTAGATAATGGTAAATTACCTATATTTTTAAAGTTTCATACCTCAGCAGAGAACAAACTTTATCAATCGAAATGGAAACCGTTCGAGTCTGCACATTTCTGACAACGGCTAACGAGTTTATTTATAGAGAACGCACAAAATTCTAGACTTCTAAAGGCGATGAAGCCGCTAAAAACAGTTTTGGTGTTGCGTTGGTTTTGAAACATTTCTCTCACAGAAGCTGTTCAGATGCTCGTAAAAGTAATCGGTAGGCGAATGGTCCGGTGAGCAGGGTGGGGGAGGCAGAGTTTCGTAGCCCAACTCGAAAGACTTTTGCAGCGTGGAAAGTACGACCTGTAGCAGCGTGCCATCGTGGAAGAGCGTTTGTCTCTTCTGGTGCACAACGTGTAGCGCAGCCGTTAAAGTTTTTCGGGAATTTAGTCGATTTGCTGGACTTACTTTTCCAATGTAGTCCATTCACCTAGATTCAGGAAACGTTGTTCGATTAAACCAGAAGCAAACAGCCTAATAGTCAGCACAACCTTCTTTTGGTGGAATTTTACCTAAGGAAAGTGCTGCGGAACTTCTTTATAGTCCAACCACTAAGCCGATCACCAGCGTTCAACAAAGAACGTTTATTATTTCCTGTCGTATATCACAGTGCGGTCGAGAAAAGGGTCGTTCTGGTTGTTCAGAAGAAGAGCAGGCAATACTTCAAAACGGCTATTTCTCTTATTGCCATCCATTTCACACGGAACCCGTTTATCGAACTTTAACTTTTCAATTATCGTTGGATGGTTGAAAACAACTCAGATTCCTTCTTGGATTATTAAGCAAACATGAGGTTGATACGAAATTAGAAAAACAGTTGGGATGCTTAAGTTGTTTTGGTTCTACAAAACTGTTCAATTTACTGTCGTTTATAACCATGATCGTCTCCAAGATCAAGCGAAGAAATTTTCCAAACCAATGTTGCACTGTGTTCATTAACACCTCTTGGCCCGATGCGTCACTAATTTTTCCAGATGTTTGCGCCGCGTATGACCGAGTTGGAATTGGTAACTTTGTCAAAAATAGCGTTAGGACATCTCAATTTCTAACTTCTAAGGCTTGCCAAAAGAATAACTGCTGTTATAACTCAATTATCCTCCGAACGGCTTACCGTCTCACCATGGCTGGGAGGTGTTTCTGGGTGTCGGGATGCGATGTACAGCGGTGGGATTCATCTCCCCGGCAGTGTCTCCCAAGCCAAGAAGGAGTACGACGTTTCCATCAGGAAGCCTAACTAAGAGTACGCCAATACCAAAATCGACCACTGTCCTAGTATCAAAGTCGCATGGTGGCAAGTCTCCCTCTGATCCACAAGGGCAGCGGCTGCTTGTGGTGGTGACGACCTGGGGCAGACTTTGGCCAAGCTGACGTCGGGACTCCAGGGAAACACAATGACTAAACCAGCAAAACTTCAAAAACTGGAGACTGTGCCGAGGCCCATACAGCCAGTGAGTATGGCCGTCCAAGTATCCAATTAAGTATAGTCCAACTATAAGAAGCGACAGTGAATAAAATGATATCTTCATTTAAACAAAGAAATGGTAAAATATATACAAGAAAAATGAAATTTAAAATCCCATATTAATTTCGGAATGAACCAATACACAAAGCAAGAACAACAGACTGAACCAAAATTGGGAAGACGCGTTTCGAAGAGCTTTTAAAACCTCTACGTAAAATGGATCCCTTATTTATCACCGGTCAATGTTTTTGTGACAATTCTCAGACGACGTCTGAGTCTACAACTGCAACTTTACAGAAACCTGGCGTGTCTTTAATTAAACTCACATTGTCGAATACTATCATCGAACCATATTCGAAATCACCAACGGGCAAGTTGTAGTAGAGCTCACTGGAGAGTTCACGCTAAAAATTCTTTTTAAGTGGACTATGCAACTATGGAATCAAGTTCTGCACATTTGAAATCGAACACAGAAAGAATAGTGAGGAACTACGCCCTTAGCTTTTTATACATGAATTACTGGTGTGTGCAATAAGCACACAGAAAACAAAATGTACATCAGTAAAAAATGCCGTAGTGATAACCATTTAATTCCTTTATATCAACCAACATCACATTGTGCGGATCCTAGCATTTTTTCAACTGGATCAGATCCCTCCCACTCATGATCCGAAAAGGTCATCGAATTTCAAAATGAATTCGGTTGGTGGTTGGAGATTTTGGTCTTCCCTATGAAAGCCGTTGAAAGCTGATCAAATAGATTCTCCTTGGTATCCTGTGATATCCATGCTACGGCTTTCCCAGACGGTAACGATGTGAGACTGTCGTGGTTGTAATCTCTCCACCCAATAGGGATCGAAGTCCTGGTTGGTTCAGTACAGGAAAGAACCTAGGTCTTGTGCGCATTATTAAAATCCTCCATTACGATATGCTAAAATTTAAAATGAGATCTGCCGCCTGATTGAATGTCCGAATACTATTTACAAGTAGAGAGTAGCAGAGAACTCACACATCTTTCATACATCCTTAGCACATCGGCATCGCCGTGTCCTTCTTTAGCAAGAAGTTTTGCCAAATCCTGAGCACTCTTTTCACATTCGTCTAGCACGGCACGTGCGCGTTCAATAGCCGCCTCCGTGACGTGACCTAATGGACAGGCCATAGATCTATCCAACTAAATATTATCTTGATTGTATTTGTTGAAGTAATTTCTCTAAATCTCAATTCTACCGGCACATTTCTGTAAATGAAGAAAACGTGGATTGAGAAAAGTAAAAATAGCACACCATCAATATGGTACAGATTAATAGTACAAAAATACACAGCCGTTCTCTTCATGGCTTTTTTTCCTATCAAAAACTGCACACATTAGTAATTGTTCCAGAAAAGTTCACCATTTGGGCATAGCTTTTCAATTTCTGCGGATTGCTAATATCCTGAATAGTCTTCCTCGTCAGATTTTTCTCGGGTACTGTAGTCCACGGTAGTGAAATCTCGCCCAAATTGTTGAATCGTTTCGTACTCTGAAAAGAATATTTTTCCATTTGATGCGAAGGAAAACTTATGATTAATGATAGCCCTCGCTTTTTCCTTGTTCTAGCAAAAAGTACTCAAATGAGTGGGAAATGATGAAAATACTTATCGATTGGATTTAAGCAGATCACAAAAATTACCGAACCCTAAACGAATTCCGAAATAAATGAGAACAATAACATTTAATGCCGAAACGCAAAGAATTTCAATTTTTGAGCGTAGTTTTGGTTTCTATGGCATGGAAATCAGGAAAATCAATAAAATGAAAACTGAGAACCTAATAAATACATCTGGTACCCACACAATCTGTATTCGCCTACCTCAAGAAGTCTGTATTTCTTTGGTAACACTACGAATTGATCAAACGGCGCCCATTCCTGACCGCTTTTTGAGCGCCAAACGGATTTGAACTCTTTGACGGCTATAAATAGACTACTTTCATGGGCAAATGGGACTAATACGATAGAGTGGCCAGGACCTACCTGCTTCGAAAGTGCTGAACGGCGTAGTTTGGTACTCCCCACGTCCGTCTCCAATTCGCCCCCAATTGGTGAACATAATCCATAGATCGGTATCGCGCCGTTTCATCAACTCGATACAGTAGAAGTTATGGAAACCGTAGCGTCCATAGTTTAGATCGGTTTTATTCAGAACCGCCTTCAAATAAAACGGGTCTTGTGTAACACCAGCAATGGATGTAAATGTGACTAGGATGTATCTGTCACAGGTGTGGAATTTGAGAAAAAAAAATGTAAGGACTGGTCTTAGTGAGCTCATCACAGCGTAGCAAACATACCGCCATATACTGATGAGTGATAGGGCAGTATACAAGTTCAGCAGTGTCGCGATATCCGCTTAGAGCTGAAGGTCTTGGTATGGATGTCGCGTCGACGACCTCGTGCTCGGCTCTCCAGCGAGCTAAGAACAATTTCGAGTCCTCGTCAACATTGTAATTGCAGACTAGGCCGGAGACATCGGGCAGATCCCCAACTTGAACCCTAAAAGATGTTGATCTGGGAATTAGAAAAACTAAGTGGCAGCCAGAGAGGACAGAACATGACTAAAACACGTCCACTGAAGTTAACAATTCTGTACTCAGCTCCTATAAAAAACACACAGCAACCTATGCATACGTAAACACGATTACTGTTTCGATGTCCATGTCCAGGTGTTACCTTTAAGTCACCATTCCATTTTAGCGTTATTAGATCGGATAAATTGAAAAAGGCTTATCTTCGAAGGATGAAATGCAAGCTTATAGTTCCCACGACCGACTTTCTATTAACCACGGCATTGATCAAGTAATGCAAGCTTATAGATTTCGCTGGCTTGCATATGTAAAAAGCCGCTGTATACGCTAGACCTACAATGACTTCTTCAATCGATGGACAAATTATGCACGATTTTGCTGAAAATGCTAGCATTTACTTCAGAAAGCAAATTTTTTTGGTCCCATTGAACAGTGACTGAGAGAACCCCCTCTGGGTACTGTCGAATGAACCCATTATTATAGAATGAGAAAATCGTACCCATTTAAAACAGCTGCTTTCTTGGCCAAATTGCCAGCATTCAAAATCCGTTTCATCGCTGTCGCCATCGTCCTTTGCTTTGTATTGATAGCGATATCCACTGGTGTGCAACCACTCTACGGTAATCAAAAGTAACACTGAATTGGATCTCAAACCAAGAAGCAAAACATACTTTAGTGCGTTGTTGCAATAGTTGCTTGATTATTGTCGGTGCCGCCACATGCAGTTTTTCAAGTAGCTGCACATTTTCCCAATGAAATGGCTCAACCATGTAATGCATGATATTTCTGCCGCTTTGATCGCTTCTCGTCAGTTCCAACTTGAATAAACAAAAGTTTTACAACAAGCTTGTAGGAATAAAAAGCGATATTACAGTTACATAAACGAAAGTAAGGCCAAAAATAGAGTGCGAAAGTAAAACACTTCCACAGATTTGTAATAAAAAAAAAAGATAAAGCTCTCGGCGTTGACCAATCTCTGAGGGTTGCGTCATGCTTTCGACTTCATTAAGCATCGTTTAGAGGTGATTGAATGCATATCTGGCCTTTACAATGACTCGTGGTGGCCTATCGACGTATCGAGCCAGTGCTGCTATCCTCTCGGACAAGTCTAGTACCAGTCTGTCGACCGTGGAGGGATGATAGGCTTGGCGGGATAGGCGGATTCTACGTGTGTGTTGCAGGGCGCCTCCGACTACTGCGCCACATGGTTTTTCAGTGGCCAATGATAACTGTTAGACAATTGAAATATCTAAGGCTTCTAGGATTCGCTAGATTCATAGAATTATTGATCCATCTTCATCCTACCCTTGTCTTTATTTCTGAAGTTAACATTTTGAAAAAGCAACACCAACAGTAGCGGAGCACCGCCGCGTTTGACTGGACGAAATCCTGTTTGTGCAATCGTTCTCGTGTGCGAAATACTACCGTTGACAGAAAAGAGCACCGAATGGTGACATTCTGTGTGCTCCAGAAAAGAGAACTTTATCTTGGAAAGATAAAATAGCTTGCTTCTTATAGACAAAGATCTGTAGATTCCAGTCTTTATTCCAACTAAGAAGGTTTCATATTATACGAGACATGACCACAATAAGACGGTTGACAGGCGAAGCGAAGGACTCGCATGGCGTGGTGGTGCGTTAGCCCCCGTAAAGGGTAAAAGCGCGTTCGGTCCCCACTGCAGACACCAGCGGTCCGGAGTTTGGCAAATATCTCAGCAACATTGTGGTTATATTTTACTGAATACCCTACCATTAAAAATAGTAGGCAGTAAACAAGAAAACTGACGACATTATACGAAACATTTTCTTTTATTTTTTAATCTACATTACCCGACAACATACGTGCGACTTCCCAGAATTTCTTCCATTCAACCCGGCCGTATCTAAAATCCACAAAGGTTTTCATATTTCAGTGAGGTTTCGGCTGCTGTATGAGAAGTTTGGTCTTATTTATGAATGTCGTTGAACAATAACCAAGTCGATTCTCCCCGAAATCCTGATATCGGTGTTAGAGCGTTTCCCGAACCTCATTGCAAGCACTCGCGAGATGTAAGTGGATCGGAGGGAGGAAGTTCACCGCAGACAACTCTCATACTAATTTCCCTACTTCGGAGGAATGAGGAGCTTGGTTGACCAACGGCTATCTCCAATAAGAGCCTTGTGCGTATTCAATAGCATCACTACAACTATTTTAGTAACACTGCTGAGTTGAAGAAACAAGTCTCTGAAAAGTTGAAAGGTCCATTGTTCTCCTTTCAAATACATTTTAATTAATTTAATTAAATATGTATCGAAAATAATGTCTGGACACCAATAGAAGTTCGAACAATAACAGCAAGCGTTAATAAGTAGTAACAATGTTAACGCGGGAGCGGGTATAATAGTAACATTGTTGTCGTTTGAGGCCCTGGTTGGAGCCAACTGTTGTCAGTTAGGGACCCACCCATTTAGGTTCGTGAAATTACCATCGGATTTGTCATGGATCAGCTGGCGATGTCTGTGACAAGGAGTGGGGAACTGCTTAGCATGGTTGTCTCTGGATTACAACAACTTTGTAATCCTCAAGCAGTAATCGAAACCAATGAATACCTTTGCCGGTGATGAATGATGCGAAACGATTCGAATGCAACTAGTGGTCAGATCCGTAAAATGTACGATATCGAATCATGTAAAAAAAAGTAATACGAATATAACTTCAATGATGCTGAAATCTTTGTAAAACACCGGACCGCAGATGTCTGCGGTGGTGGACGAACGCGCTATTACCCTTTTCCGAGGGCTAACGCGTTCACCACCACACCGTGTGACCCGCATGAGTCCGGAGTTTTTCAAATATCTCAGCACCATCGAAGTTATATATCGCAACATACCCTGCCATTAAAAAAGATTGCGCAATAAATAATAAGTTAAAATACTAACATATTCACTACAGTATGCATGTCCATAGAAGTAATTTTGGCCTCAAGTTTTTAAACCAACATCTATTAACCAACACTGCAGCTCAACAATTGAAATACGACCATTCACGATCTATGCATCTTTAGCAACGAGTTGCAAGTTCTACTCTGTCATGATGAAATTCTCAATGCAGGTAGCCCACAAATTCGCTTCGCTTTTTTCGCAAAGACTCGTCTTTCGAAATAGCGAATCGATTAGGGAAGCGCGGTAAACAAAACATTTGCAACCTTAGATCGCTACAGCAAAGTTTCTTTCATCAGTTTGACAAGTTCTTAAATTCTCAAATACTCAGGTTATTAAGAAAAATTACTAGTAGTTGGCGAAAAACCAGTATTGTAGCGAATGTATTAATATTAATTCCAATAATGTTACACATGAAGATCCAGTATCTGTTTGCTTCTAACCGCATGGTCAGCAGCACAAGTACCCTACTGAATGGCAGGTTAGTAAACCCTCTGCGGACGAATGATGAGTAAAAAATAACTTTGGATAGGTAAAATAGCCAGTTCCCTGTAAATTCATCTATACAATTCATTTTATCCAAAAAACCTAAAATCACTAAATCAGAAAAATGTAGATGAAATGGTAGCTCATCGCCGGGAAATTTCGTCTTCCCATTATTTTATGCGTCAAAAAATGAGATTTTCATTGAGAGAAATAGGAATTCACAGACAGTAGTGAAGCTCTGTTCGAACACTTAACGATATTTAGAAGTGGACTTTAACCTTATCCGTATTATAGGCAAGGACTGACCTCTTTATTGGAGATCTTTATCCTTTTTGGAGACTTTGCTGACTCCACCTCCACCGGCTCTGCGTCAGGACTTCTCTCCGATCTTGAGCCATCGTCAGAGCCTCTCAAACTCTCATTGCTATTCATTTCTCCATCTTCTTCTTCTTCCTCACTGTTAGAGGCCTTCCTTTTTCTTTTGTTGAAAGAGTCAAGCAGCATCCGAGTCGCTTTATTTTTGACCGTTTTATTCGATGTATTGGAGATGTTTGACCCTTTACTGGGTACAGAACCATCACCGCACAGAACCTACAACAGAACTATTAATTAAAGTCGAAATCTGGTAACTTATCTTACTTATCGTGTCTGGTAACTTACGATATACATGTAATTAATTAAAATAAAACTAGAAGGAAGAACATGAAATGCAGATAAAAACCAAAAATGTTCGCAGTAAACAAAAGTTCAAATAGAAACAAGCATGCAAAACTTCTTAAGAAACGTAGGCTAAGTTTTCCTGAAGTACAGCCTTTCCACTGCAGTTACCTCTCCCGTGTTTTTGTAATTCTATTATCAGATAAAAACTCAAAAATAACTGATTTTAAATAGGATGATAGATTCTCTAGAAATCACAGCACAAAGATAAGGAGCTGACAAGTTGATCAGAAAGGGAAAAACTTTTCTCACTTCGACTGCACTATCTTTGTTGGCCAACAAAGCGATCATAAGAGGAGTTCTGCCTTCAAGATCCACAGCGTTCACATTCGCTCCAGCTGTCCTAAATTTACTGACGAGTTCAGCTTGTCCGAGAGCACAGGCCCAAGAGATCGGCGGCAGTGACGAGAGAGAGACTTCCGTGAGGTCATACGGTAAAGGCAGCGAAAGTGGTTCATCCAGACTGCAAAGTGATACTACATTATATAGGTAGAATGATAAAAATGAAGTATCGGATGGATTTGATAGAGCATTAAGAGATGCTCATGTTTAATTCCGTGCGATACGTTATTTATCTGATCGACCCAACTTTTAAATCATTGAAAAGGTCATTTCTTATATAATATCGAGTTTTCCACTAGTACCTTGACTAATAGGAGCGGTGTAGCATAAGTGGTCGCAGCCACCCTGGCACACACACGTGGAATCGATTCCCGCGCCCATGGCTCACCAAGCCTTCCATTCCTTCGGCGTCGGGAAATTGGTATGAGACTTGCCTGGGAGGATAGCAGCACTGGCTCAACACATCGGTAGTCACGGTGGTCATTGTAAGGGCCAAATATGTATTCAATCACCTCCAAACGATGCATAATGAAGATGAATGCATGGCGCATCCCTCAGAAATTGATCAATGCCGACAGCTTTATCTTGTTACCTTGAGTGATCCAACATTCAATAGAATGAACCTGGAGTGGAAATAGCCAGGAGAGTATGTCAACCAGGCTCAGATGTAACCATTTTAATTCCCCAGTAACTACGACCAATATTATGCGCCCTCGTCCATCGCTTCCCAGAAACGCCTAGTGGAATCAACTTACTTGAGGAACATGAAAACCATTACACTTATCGTTTCAGACTAATTAATCTCAACGTTGCTGAGATATTTGCAAAACTCTGGACCGCAGGTGTCTATGGTAGAGAACGAACGCGCTATTATCCTTTCCGGGGAGTAACGCATTCACCGCCACACCATGCGGGTCCTTCGTTTCGCCTGTCTCTCAGCTATTTCTATCGATCTTTTTGCCACAGCAATCACTAATTAATCTCACAGTTTTTTGGCAACAGGAAGGCCACTGGTCGCTCACTGCCTTCTCCTGTGGGTGTTGCAAGAACAAATTTGCATTCCCTGCTATTCTGAGGCATAGATGGGGTTTGTTTGGTACTCAATAGTCATCTTGTTATGAGGTTTTCACCTATTCGATGGAGAAAGGAAACTTGGGGAACACGAGCATGGACATACTCACGGATTCATGCATGTTATTATGTGTCTAAGAAAGATATATGTGTTTACAATGTACTGTGTTTCCCTATAGTGAGACGTAAGATATAAGATTTTGTAATGCTTAACTTTTATATCTTTCTACTTCTGTTCAGCAAGCACGAGGTGCTATTTTATTTCTTTATTTACGCACAAGCTGACCTTTCGGCCGATTTCGCCTTCCTCAGAGCCTGGAAAGGTCAAGTTGACAGCAATCCACTCGGCCAAACACCTCCATAACCAAACAGAGAAAACGCTAAACCAAGATTTCAATCACATTTAGCATAGCTCTGCACACACACCGCTTTCTATGAGTCTTCCATTGAGCATGTCGCATGAAGACCGACCGCACAGAATTCACATAGAAGCGTAATGTGACCCTTCCATCAGAATAACAGGTTTATATACTGTCCAATACCACGTGTGATAACGAGGCATTCCTCCCTGCAATTCATTTTCGGATTTTTGGAATTAATCCAGAACGCCTCTAGAGTTTTGCGCGCTTGTGTTCTCGATTCTTGTGCGAGGATCGTAACTTCATACTTCAAAATCTTCTCCGATATGTCTCTGCGTCCTATGCGTGCCTAGTGGAGTAATTGGTTTACGTTTGCTGACTAGGTGTTCTTTTTACACACACAGAGTGGTCTACCCGTTTCACCAACGTATTCTTCCCCACACGCCTTACAGGAGATCACGTAAACTAAACCCGAGTTCATGCAATCACTGTCTTTACCATTGAGGAAATTATGCAATTCTGCTTTGCACATAGAAGGTCGTATAGGCGGTTGCGAACTAGCTGGCGTTTTAGATTACTCGGTGGTAGTTCAACTAGGTTTACCGAATTCTTCAGACCCGCCCTTCTTAAGCAGCGTTTTATAGCTGCACTTACATCATTTGAGATGAAGGGTAGGATAAACGGAACCTTTTTATCGCTAGAGTTGTCGTTTGGGGGCCTCGGATTTCCCCCACACCTATCTCGAGCTACGGTTTCGTAGCCATTAAAAGTGGCTATTTGCCGCGCCAAGTTCCGGGACTCCTCTCTCTGTTGTCTTCCAGTTCACAAGCTGGTAGCTGTTCGACACATGTTTCTCACAACCGCCCTTTTCGTGTGAGAGGGATGAGAGGAGAGGTAATGAACTAGGATGTTTTTACTAGTTGGCTTTCGATACCACTTCGTAATGTAGCCGTTTTCTGATAGGCTAATTTGCACGTGCAGAAATGGAAGCCAGTCTTCTTTTGGTTTCTCTCGGGTGAATTTAATATACTCTGACTGTGTGTCCAACAACTCGAAACATCTGTTGATTTCTTCTTGCGTTGAACAAATGACCAAACAGTCATCTGTATATCTACAGTAGAGTAATGGACCGAGATTGGTCACTGCCGCTTCCACCTTAGACATGAATGCAATAGCAAGGCTTAGTAGCAGTCGTTGTTCCATTGCCAGCCCTCTCATTTGTGCGTAATATCTCCCGGACCATCTGAAGATTGAGCAGTTCAGGCACTCCTTTAAGAGTGTCATCAACTGCTGAATCGAGAAGCCGTACATACTTATTGCTCCTTCGTGTTGTATAAGGAGCTCGTTTATTGCTTGCATAGCGGAGTCATTCGACACGTTCGTATAGAGAGCAGTNCCATTGCCAGCCCTCTCATTTGTGCGTAATATCTCCCGGACCATCTGAAGATTGAGCAGTTCAGGCACTCCTTTAAGAGTGTCATCAACTGCTGAATCGAGAAGCCGTACATACTTATTGCTCCTTCGTGTTGTATAAGGAGCTCGTTTATTGCTTGCATAGCGGAGTCATTCGACACGTTCGTATAGAGAGCAGTGACGTCGAAGGACTCCACCACATACGCGCTGTTGGGTCGCGCGTTACGTAGACGATCCGGGAACATTTGGGTGTTCGTTAGATGAACTGGAATGTACTTCAACAACTGAGTAAGTATTAGGGTTATTAACCACGTTATTCTATCCGTTGGCCCGTCCACGCAGCTAATGATAGGTCTAACCTTAAATAACGATGGATCGGTAGACGCGAGATCATCGCTGGATACTAACTTATGGGTTTTGATAAGTAAGTACAGGACGGGACATGTTGGTAAGTCAATTTTGAGATGAGAGATAACCGATGGTTTTAACCCAGCCGCTCTTACCACTTTAACCCATTCGTTGTTTAACTTTCGATATTGACTTTTAAATTCCTTCTCAGACGACGGACGATAAAGGGAAGCATCTTTAAGGTGCTTTTCCGTTATCTCAACATCTAACTGATGGGGAATTATAAGGAACTCTCCACTCTTATCACTAACCGATAGTCTTATGTTTTTTGATCTTATCAGCTCTCGTACCTCCCGCATACCACGTTTTTGTATTTCAGTGCGGTTGAAGCAGTATCTCTTGGCGCGATAGTGATTAAGGACCGACCTTGAAAGTTTCATTTGTAAACGTCCGAAATTTCATGTCAACTTCGTTATTGGGCTCTTGTTGTCTAAAGAACGGTTGAGGAAATGGTGGTACTGGTATTGCCGATACTTTTTCGCGCCTATTTTGCGCTTCATCCCTAGCTAGCTTTTTTGCGGAGTCTATCTTGAAGTTCATGTAAACTACATGCGACCCTACGCAAGGTTACCTTAGAAATGAGTTCAGATGGTGAGAAACTCGGTCCCAATTCTAATAACGAGCGCGCACCGTCAGAGAGGGTTATAGAGGGTTATGCCTCGTAGCACGCTCAACTTTGAATTTCTTTGCACATTATTTATCCTACTGTGAATCGTTTGATCTTCGTTGGCGGTGTTTCTGTATGCTCTTGAAGCCGTGTTATGCGATTTACTCAAAAGGTCTTCGAATTTTCTCCGCAAAGTTACTTTAGCGTTAGACCTAATAGAGTTGCAAATCAACACTGACCCACCCACTATTCTCCTCCAGAGGCGGTCCTCCAAATACTGAGTACAATAGTTTTCTTTCTTCTCGCACTTCTTCCACTTAGCGAACATCTGGTTTTGTTTGCTTCGTAGACAGGTGCGCAGCACTTGCAATTCGATGTCCAGTACTCGGTGGTCATCCTCTGGAAGTCCGCATACTTCGTGTAGTCGTTTTCTTTTTATGAATTTTGGAACGACTTGGTGTTTCATGCAGCGGCGGAGAAAGTGTATTGACTGTCGAGCTAAGACGATCTTTTGTCTTAGTGACAGTGCTTCTTTTTTTGCAAGTCGGAAATATCTTGTTGGTACAACTTGTAGTAACTCCCAAGTCCGACTTTCTATTAACCTTGGCATTGATTGAATATATATCTTTTTACTTCTCTTCAGCAAACACGAGGTGCTATTTTATTTCTTTATTTACGCACAAGCTGACGTTTCGGCGGATTTCGCCTTCCTCAGAACCTGGAAGGGTCAAGTTGACAGCAATCCACTCGGCGAAACACCTCCATAACCAAATAGAGAACTTAACTTTTAATTCCTTTCCTTTTCTACAACAGAGTATTATGTGAAAGACAACCATAAGGATCCTCATATTTGAGCAAAACTTGGAACCTCACGTAGTAAGTAAGCAGTAAGTGAAAAAAAAAACATTGTGAGTTCAACTGCAGCTTCATCTTAACTGGACTCAACCCAGAATTATGTTCTGAGGATCACTCTCGTTGACCGTTGATTGCAAATAGCACCGCTGTAGTAAAAATTGACCGATAGAAAAGTAAACCAAGTGCCTCGGTTGGCCCAGTGGAGAGCAAATGAACTCCCAGTAAGAGTAATCGCGGAATCAAAACCCATCTGAGGTTCTGAGTTTTGCTCATATCTCATCATTCTTCTTGTTGTGTCATAAATTAGTCGCTCTCCCAAAAATATCGCCGCCCTAAGCTAAGCTAAGCTAACAATAATTGCGAGCCATGTCGTTTGCATCTCAATACTTCCAAGCGAAATAATACTACCACGAAAGAAATAATAGGGAACATAGAGGACAACCCGTTCACATATAGCGTTTCATAATATTATTAAAAGATCACATCAACACATTCGCAACGGTGCTAACTTTTCAAAAATGCCCAAAAATTTCTGATAAGTGCAGTTAAGAACCTGAGGACGCTCCAGACCTATGCAACTGACTTTGCTCTACCACTCTAAGGCTGCATATATAAGGCTTTCCTACAGTACTATTTTCAAAGGAGCGCCTGGAGCAGTGGTCGGAGACGCCATGCAACACAAACGTGGAATCAATCTCCGCGTCTATGGCCCATTAAGCCTTCCATTCCTCCGGCGTCGGCAAATTGGTACCAGACTTGTCTGGGAGGATAGCAGCACTGGCTCGATACATAGGTAGGCCACCGCGAGTCATTGTAAAGGCCAAATAAGCATTCAATCACCTCCAAATGATACTTAATGAAGGCGAATGCATGGCACATCCCTAAAGGGATTGATCAACGCGGAGTTTTGTCTTTTGCCTCTCATCCTTTATAGTACTGTTCTCATCATAAATTTTTTGAATACCAAATTCCGGAAAGATTCCATTTTAAAACACCTATAACATTAGCGCGGCAACCACCATTGTCAATGGAGTGTTTGGAAACAGATCGTGTTCTGATGGGAAAATGTTACTCGTTCACCTACTTTGGCGTTGAAAATACGAGTCTCCACGAAAGAAAAAGCAAATAAAAACATTCGAGGGTTCTAAAAAAAAAGTCAGAATTTTGCATAATGCTGAGATATTTGCAAAACTCCAGACCGCAGGTGTGTTCAATGCTGATTTGGGCTCCCGAGGTCAATCTCGTTGACAGGTGATTGCTGATGGCTGTGATCGATAGAACTAGCTGAGAGGCAGGTGAAACGAAGAACCTGCATAGTGTGGTGGTGAACGCGTTACTCCCCGGAAGGGATAATAGCGCGTTCATTCCCCACCGCACACACCTGCGGTCCGGAGTCTTGCAAGTATCTCAGCATTATGAAAGTTATATTTCGCAACCTACCCTGCCATTAAAATGAATAGACAGTACTCAAGAAAATTTAAACACATATAAAAACTAAATTATTTCAGGCCATGTATGAATCATATACGACTCGTATCCCTGATAAGCTGTCAATCAGAAATAATATTGCATAGGTAAATAAATCTTTGTGGTCATCATTTTGTTTACCTTGAACATTAGCCCAAAATAGATAAGAATCAAAAAAATTGTTCGAAGAATAGCAAACTAGCCTAAAGTTTGACATAGCTGCTAGCTCACGTACGACTGCTTCTGAATAGGAGTTGGGTTGCTCCAGAAGATGAATCACAGCGTTCCTAAGCGGTCCCATATACGGTTGGGATGGCCGTAGAGACAACCAGTTGCTACTTGCGCGTGACTAAACGCCCTTTTTCTTCATGCTTTATATAATAAAAACTCTTATGCATGATAACTTCAAGGATGATAAAAATCTAAGAAAATACAAAAGAAGAAAAATCAGGAAAAACCCATAATTGAGTTATGCAACGACTTGTGGCGGAATAGCGATATATGAATTCAGCGTTTTTATCCACCCAAACTGGACTGGCACCAATTATTCGATTCGAGAGGTATGGAGGAGTTGCTTAGATCAAGAGTGGGATCGAACGAGACTCCTTGTACTTCCCAAGAAACCTCTAACCACTATTCGTGAAGTCGATTTAGCCACGTATTCAGATAAAGGGGTACTAAGAAGTGTCATTATGTAGAACGGTTTCTATAACTAAAACTGAAACGAGCACACCTTGAAGTGATTATAGAGCGACCAAGAGCCGTGAAGAACAGCCGCTTCGATTGGGAGACTAACGTTGTCGCTCATCATATCCCAGCCCAACGAGTACAGTCGGTGAAGAACGGCGTCTTCTACACTGTTGCTAACTAGTTCGCCTGTAGGAAGAACACAAATACTTGCCGTTCAGTTAAAAAAACAAAAAAAAATTCATTGCAACCCGAATGACATTACCACAAGGTCATCTTCAATTCTATGCAAAGCCTAACGAGTTCATTCATAGATTAAAACCAAATTTTAAAAAATTGGATGCAGAAAAAAACCAATAAGTGAATTAATGGAGAGACAAATGTTGGAACGTGTGAATCAAAGGAAAGAACGTAAAGCGCTGATAGCATCAGTGAAAGACATTCGAGCGCCTGCATACGTAATCCATAAAGGTGACATCTAGGTTTTGGCTGCAGCCCATCGAACAATGTTGTTGGCAAGAGCGAAATTTCCGAAGTAAAGTCTAAGACCAAGCAATCGAACCTGGAGGGATGGATGGCCTGATTAGCCGAGTTTGCGACCAAATCGGTAACTATTCTTCAACTGCATTTTATTTTTATATGACCCGTTTTCACGTCTACCATGAGGATCCCAGCACTTCTCACATTTGATTCGTTTCCCCTTATCCATTGTCCACAAAGATCTTCCAATTTTATATGTGGCTTCGGCTGTTGCTCGAGGATTTTCATTCTATCTTGAATCCTGGATTTTCATTTCATCTTGAATGATGGTGATTCTTCCTAGAATCCTGAGATAGCCGGGTCGGAGCGTCCCCAATTGAATTGCGGAGAGTAATTCTTTCCAGGACAAGCCCGATAGCAATTTTGGTTGGCCCAGAGCGGAATCGAACTATCGCCATGCTCGTGATGATGGACATCACTACACTGTGCTATACGCCCTATTAGCAATTATCCCCGGAATAGTTACTATTTCCTTCTATTACTGCATGTTTCTGTAGTAAAGATCAGATCTACTGTTTTTCAATTTGCCTGGCAAATGTCATAGTACGTAAATATTTTGATCCCATCCTAAGGAACTTCGTATAGAGAATTCCTCTATCAAAATTCTCTATCTACCTAGCAGACACATTCAATGGGTCGATGGAGACGGCTTTTGCCACAACACCACTAGACACAGCATCACGTGGCCATCGATCACACCACCGGGCATGCTACTGGCGAGGTCTCATTGCTTGGGGAATGGACTCCGCAACCTGGGCATTGACCCTACCACCAACGACTCGCTTGAACGTAGCCACACACCCGGACTAGCACCGCCTTCTTTTTGGGCTTGGCAAGATCTTTAGGAGTCTTACGTCCGACTTGATTGCCTTATTCTTATGCCAGTATTCTTCCATCGTTGTTCCTGTTGTAATGGTGTTGCCTTTATGTATATAAAGATTTAATCCCAATTTTGAGTGTCGAGTCGAAAGGTTCTCTTGCTCTGCGTCAATTACGAAAAGTCCCGCGTGGCGTCTTCTCATGAAGTCGAGCATTCTGCTTAAAGCTAGCGGTTATTCGGTGTCGAGAACTGACTCGAAGGCCTATATTCAGCTAGCAACTGCTATACGCCCCTTGCTTGTATTGTAAGGCACCTTTAATCTATGCGTTACTCGTGAACCGTAGAAATGTGATACGGGAACAAGCACAGCTCACGTCGACTCATGCAGAAAAGAGTTTCTGATTCGCCCTCTCTTACTTTTATGAATTATGATCAATGACACCTATGAAATTTTATAAGCGTATAAATAGGTGAGCTATGGCAATTTAAGTGCATAAGTAGACAAGTTAAAGTAGTTAAGGTGGTAAGTAAGATAAGTTAATTTCATAAGTGTATAAGTGAGATTTCATAAGCATATAAGTAACTAGACGGAAGCTCGAAGAAACAGTCCAGTTTATTGCCGTTTCATTCTATACCGTAGACGTGAGATTTTCAACGTTTAACAATAGAACAGTTTGTGAAGAATATGCATCTAGGAAAATATAAATGGAAAATAGAAAAAGTATATTAGTCCCACTGTAAATGCTCCCACAATTGTTGGTCTAGCCGAAATTTAGTGGTTCAAACCTTGGAAGTGCTCGGCGAAAGTGAGCACGAGATCGTAGCCGCTGCTCTTCACCTTCTTGCCCATCATCCGAGCTTGTAGTGACTTCGTGAGCTGATTCGCCAGGTTGTACTGACGCTCCTTCAGTGCCGCGTCGATCAACTGCACCACAGATGTGACGCTCTGTACGAATTCCTTTTCCATAAACAGATATAAAACCGAAGGTGTAGAAGCCTTGAGATCTCACAAATGCCACTTATGTTTCATATGACGCACACTCCCTCTCAAATTCGATGGAAATTTAATTTCTTTGAACTTAAATTAGGTTAAACTTTGCTCTCAAATTAGCATGAAAGCAGGTAACACACCATTTGATGTTTTCGAAATGGAAAACGAAATTTGGTCTTTCTGGTAAAAAAAATAATATTGCAGAATATAAAAAAGAAAACAATACTGCCGAACAAAAGGCAAAAAGGGCAAGACACGGTGATACAAAACAAAACTAAGAGAAATTAACTTCGATGATGCTGAGATATTTGCAAAACTCCGGACCACAGGGTGTATGCGGTGGGAACGAAGGCGCTATCACCCTTTCCGGGACTAACGCGTTCACCACCACACCATGTGGATCCTTCGCTTCACCTCTTTCTCAGCTAGTTCAATCAATGAGTGCCATCAGCAATCACCCGTCAGCGGGATTGATCTGGAGAGACCAAATAGGTAATGAACCCAGTTAAGCCGAAGCTATAATTATAATCACAATTTTAACTTATTATTTACTGCCTGTGCTTTTTAATGGCAGGGTACTAAGAGAAATATAATCAAGGTAAATTAATGACATTGGACTGAGGATCACCTCTTGATTAGCTCTTGGTCAACAGAGTTCGAATGGTGCTTAAACGAAAAACAGCGAATTTTATAGCAATTTCGTATTATTACAGTTTAAGTAGGATTAAAAATTGTCTCAGGGAGTTTAGTTCAAAACCATTCTTTGGAGTGAATTTTAAAAAACCTTTCTATTTGTTCTCAAAACCACTACAATCAAATTTATAGGAATCTCCACTGCTAACGAAATACTTAAACCGTAAATCTGAAGTGTAGGGAAGCAAAAGAATTGCAAGAAGTGAAAATGAGACAGACCGTTCCCAGTGCATCCAGCAGCACATAGACTATTGCTTCCCATTCGCCACCTTGAGAGATTATAACGGCTGGGACCGTGGAAACCGTGGGTTTTTCGGAAGATTCTTGGATACCATTCCATTTCCAGACATCGGTCTTTACTTCTGCTTTTTGCGGGTAAAAGACCTACAAAACATGAATGACTATTATTAACGAATACAATTTGTTTGTAATCGCGATTTCTGTAGTTTGAAAGTAGTTCTTTTGAAGTCGAGCATTCCACTGCACTGTTAGTAAATACAGGTAAGAGGCTAGCGCAGTGATAGCGATGATATTTATTACAAGCACAGTGCTGACTCGATCCCAAATCGAGTCCGCCAACAATTCCATCTCTCTGATGTTTATAGATTGGCACCAAACTAGTCTAGGGCAATCCCACTCTGTTCAAATCACGTACGAACGTCCTTTCACAACTACTGCAAGATTTCAGTAAAAATTGACTCGACCAGCACTTAACGACATTCATAAAGACGATGAAAACATTCAAGAAGTATCTGAGCTCATAAGCAAAAAGTTCGAAAGCCTTCGCGGATGACAAGATGTGAAGAAACGAATCGAATGCGAGAGGTACTGAAATCTGCCCAATAGATGTAGAGACGAGTCGCTTTAAATAAAATGATAGAATCAATCCATAACGCAGTTAGTTAGTTTTCGAAAAATTTAATTAAAAAATTAAAACTTCTCCATCATTAAGGTAATTAAGGAGTAGAAAACGATCTTCACAGTTCCCAGCATCGACGTTCTATTAACTACGGCGTTGGATTACAAATTCGTGGTTTTCTTTCTCAGCAATCACAAGATTCTTAAACATTTATTTCCACACAATAACAGACATAAAACAATCGCAGCTGACGTTTCGGCAGTATCGCCTTCTTCAGAGCCGTTTTTACGTGCCCTCTATTGAGGAAGAGCCGTTGAACAAGGCGATACTGCCGAAACGTCAGCTACGATTGTGTTGTATGTGTGTTATTGCGTGGAAGTAAACGTATGCTGTTTAAGAACCTCGCGATTGCTAAGAGAAAAACGACGGATCTAAACAGTTCTGTAGAAAAGAACATGTTCTATTCCTTTCATCATATATGTGATTATTATACGACGTTCTTTCAATTTTAGACTCGTTTGTGATAAAAGTCTTCGAATATTGGAAATGAAGTTTAAACACTGAAAAGAGTCTTTCTGGCAAAGTCTTTCTGGAGAAAATCGCGCTTGCTCAATTGCTTAAGTCTTCTAAATACAAGCCTCGCACCCCCCCCCCCCCCCCCCCCCCCCCCCCTCCTCACTCCATAAAAAAACTGAAAAAAACGTTTAGTGAGCTCCAAAAAAAATAAAAATTTCCCCTCGTTACAACAGAACCCCTATCTTTTAAGCAATATGTTGAGTTAAAGTTGGCATGCGCTATTATTTTTCACAAGAAACGCATTGTACTCAATACATATCGGACATTGTATGTTAATATGGTCGTTCATACCGCCATTTGTTGTCGAAGAAATTCTTGAGGAGTAGGCTTTTGTGAATAACTGAATAAACATAGTGAAATAAAGGAAAAAATAACAACCCATTATTTTTCGAGGGGTTTGGTTTGGAAACTAAAAATAAAACCAGATTTGAAGCAATTTGTTAACAAAGGTTCAGTTTTCCAAGTTTTAAAAACTTTTAACCGTTCAATTCCAAAGATTCCTGTTAGGCAAAACACGAAAAAAAAACTTTTAATATCTTCTTCGGATAATTCACTCAAGGGAATCGGTGTGTTACGTAGTCCTCCATCGCTGAATTAATCGCCAAGACTGCTGCCTGCAAAGGCATCGCTGCTGTAGAAGAATCACAGGCGTAAAGCACAAACGTTACGTCGCTCCACAACGACCGAGTACTACCTGTGGTGAAGACCTGGAAACGTCACAACACGACTTCTCCGGAGTTTCGGATAAAACCAAACTTAATCTGCGTTGAAGACATTGTGGCAACAAGAAGAAAGTGCGACAAGCATTATGGACGACAATTGTTAGACCTGACGACAAAGCAAATACACTAAAAGTACGACCAGAATTAAACATAAAGGCACCTCGTACAAATAATCGGAAAAGCAACTGCCTTTCACTTCTTAATTTTAAAGTGTAAAAGACGATTTGGAGGTTTCTCTCAAATAAACTTAACCTTAACTGTACCTGATCGCTAACATTGCTGTCTGCCTGAATCAGAGTAAGCGCCACTGACCGTCTACCGTAAAGTACTGCCACTGCTAATGGCGAATTTCCCTCCTGAAAACAAATTAATTTCTTCGAACTAATAGGTATTTGATAGTAAAGTCCGAACTTTATTCTTTAGAGACACATTGGCTCCTTTGCGAATCAGAGTTACCGCACTAATGTTGGCGTCTTTGAAGGCGGATAAATGAAGTGCGGTGTTACCGTCACAGTCCGCATAATCGATCTGGAAAATTTGTGGTTTCTTGACCTGCAGATAGTTTATTGATTAGGTTAGACAGTCTTACTAAAGTGTGAACAACTGAGTGATGAATACACAAGTTACCTGCTGCCTATTCATGTTTCGTATTAGAATCGAGACCACGGAAATTGGATCGCGAAGTTCGTTCGCCAGTGAGCGCTTCATAAATTGTTCGCGTGGAGCAAATGCATAGTGCAGAGGAGTTCTCCCGTACTAAAAACTCTGAATTTCCGCAATTTGTAGGTCAAAAGTTCAAATGCTTCTTGGTTCTCTCGAATTTTTCTAACATCTCCAAACTTCACAGACTCAAAAAAGTGTTTTCTACAACTCTGAACCAAAAAACCAAAATTTTGGGCCGAACTTCAAGTTGTCTATTAAGCTACTTCACGCAAAAAGAAAAGGCTCATAACAGAAATTTCGCATAATATGAGAACGAGTACGTCTAACTCGATAAATCAGGTTTACCATTACCGCACTGACGATTGTTTGACATTTCCTATTGATAAATATTACCTTTTACTTCCTTTTCTCCTAATATTATTGAAGGGACAGGCAGCGTGGTGGTAACGATGCCGGTCATCACAAACTCGCTAGTTATTCAACCTCACACTGGGTCCACCAAGTCTCCCAAACCACCGTTGGTGGTATACTGTCGACACACTTGCCCCGGGATGAGCCCAATTTTAGGAACACAAGTGGGAACGCTCTAGCTCGGCTATCTCAGGACTCCATGAAAAAACGAGTAGATCAGCATTCAACGATATTCTTAACGATATTGACATCCTGAAGCAGTAGCCGATTCCACAGGCAAAAGTTCGAAGAGATTCGTGGATGGTGGAAGCATAGAAAACTATCGAATGCAAGAAATTCTTGGATTCGTATAGAAGATATGAAGGCGGACCATGGGAAATAATGAATAATAAACAAATATTATTAAAAAAACTGTTGTTCTCTTTTTTACAGCAATCGCGAGGTTGTTATTCAGCACACGTTTACTTCCTCACAAATATAACACATACAACACAACGGTAGCTGACGTTTCGACAGTATCGCCTTCTTGATAGCCTGGAAGGGTACACTAATGTGTAATTTACTAGGTCAAACGCTTCATCAATGCACACAGAAAGATGAAAATCTGAACAATAATTATAGGATCACCGGCTTCTCGAAAAGCCCACCGTTTTTTATATGTCTTCCACCAAGGAAGAACAGCCGCTTAGAGTCGCATATGATTGATTACTGCACCACTCCATATCAAAAATCGGTTCTGAAATCAGGTTATCCTATCCACTGGCCCGTCTACTGGTTTCTGGTTTTTTTTTTCTTTTTTTGTTTTAGTTTCTAAAACTAATACTAACCCAGTTACTTAAACATATTCCAGCTCACCTCACAAACATCCAAATGTTCCTAGAACGGCTCCGCAACGCGTCTCCTAATAACGCGTACGTGATAGAGTCTTTCGACGTTACCGCACTGTACACCAACGTATCGAATGACTCCGCAATGTAAGCCATCTTCGAACTTCTTGTTGAACATGAAGGAAGAATAAATATGGATGGCTTGTCCATCCAGCAGTTAATGGCTCTCTTAAATGAGTGCCTAAACTACTCGGTTTTCAGACGGTGTGGGAAATATTTGGCGCAAATAAAGGGGTTGGCAATGGGACAGCGACTAGCACCAAGCTTTGACATTGCATTTATATCTAAAGTAGAAGGCCCCGTTCTCGGTCTCCGGCTGCTACTCTACTACAGGTACATAGATGATTGTTTTGTGGTCTTCTCTACCCAGGAGAAGATGGACAGACGCTTCGAATTATTGAACGAGCAGTTTGAGTGCACTAAGTTCATCCGGGAGAAACCGAGAAATAACTGGCCTCCGTTTTTAAACGTTCAAAATAAACTATCAAGTAGCGGTTGCATGACAAAGTGGTACCGAAAGCCAAGCAACAAAAACATACTCGTTCATTTCCTTTCTTCCCACCCTTTACATATAAAGAGGAGAAAAAAAGAGCTTGTGAGAAACATGTTTCTAACAACCACCTCTGTGTGCACTACCAGGGAACTAAAGGAAGAATCGCGCGACTTGGCCCGGCAAATAGCCATCTCCAATGGCTACGAAATAGTAACCCCACGAGACAAGTTTACAAGGAGAACGACGCGCCCACGCGAAACGCTTGGCCAAAACAAAATCCCGTTTATGTTGCCTTTTATAAGCGATGAAGTAAGCGCAGTTATAAAACGATGCTTAAGAAGGGCAGGTCTAGAGGAATCGGTAGCGATAGTTGAAATACCACCGACTACTCTACGTCGCCAATTAGTTCGCAACCGCCTGTATGACCGTCTGTGTGAAACAACAAATTGCGTAATTTGCCCTTACGGCAGGGACGGTGATTGCATGAGTTCAGGTACGATATACCTGATCTCTTGTAATAATTTCGGAAATGAATATATTGTCGAAACAAGCAGACCTTTATGTATCCCTCTAAAAGAACACCTAGATGGCAAAC